ATTTATAGGGAAAAATTATGGTTACAAAAGAGACAACAGTCACAATTATTAGAGTTACATTTGTATAAAAGTCATTCATAAATACTACTATATTTACAACAAGAATTAATTTTTAACTATAGTTCCAACTAATTTTCATATGCACAACTCATTCTTTGGCTTTTGTTTTTTAGTTTTTAAGACTACAGTTGAAAATTACGATGCATTTGATTGCAATCATGAAATTGGCATTGAAAGAAAATAAATTTTAGGTAATTCAATTGCCCAGAATTTATTTGTATGAAAATTGCCAATTAAATATATTTGATTGATTTAATTTTTGACCTAAAAAATGTTGGACTATGCTAGTCTACTGGGGTCATTTGCACAGAGACTATGAAAGGTTGGGCATTTTTTTGTCCTTAGAAAATGGGTGTAGGCCCCCTTGTTTGAGACAGACTATCATTTTCCAAAAATATTATACTTGTCCGATTTTTATTGGTGAGTAGATGAGAGAGAGAGTGTGTGTGTGTGTGTGTGTGTGTGAATTTCCTGAAAAATAAAATCTTATTCCCCCTAAAGAAAATATTTTTATTGATTTTAAGAAAAATATAATCAGGTGACCAAAAGTGGAGAAATGTTTTCCATGAAAAAAGTATCAGTTAAACGACAAAAAGTAGGAATTTGGATGAAAAATACATTTTTCATGAAAAATATCGACAATCAGATATACCCTTAATACTTTATTATTTTCTTCTTTTCTTTTTATTTTATTTAAATAGTAAGACATATTCATCACTTCACAAAGTTTTATTAAGAAAATGAAAAAGAAAAAAAAAAGAGGGCCTTTTGCACTTAAAAGGTCATATAGGGAATTTTTAGTCAATTTGAATAGATATGGGTTATTTTGCATTAGGTCCGAAGGATTGGGGGATTTTGCGCTGATAAACCCACATAAATTGTTTACTTGTGACTCGAGACAGATACCACTTGACTGTAGCTAACCTCGGTTGGTTCGAGCCAAGCTAGGCTAGGCTTGGCCTGGGTCGTCCATGCTCAAAATGTAATACTCAATGGAGATCCAGATTCTACTTTATTATATTCAATAGTTGAATTTATGAGCCTTAGTTATACTACAAACTAATTAGTTCCAAGCGTTATTACATCTTGAGGGATCTTAAACTTACCTTGTTGACTACATAGATTGTTTCTTATAATAAAATTAACTAATTCCAAATGAAACTGAAATTTAATTATTTTCATCGTGTTTTTATTTTTGTTGTTCCCTTTTATTTAGTCAACTATGGACAACCTTTTTGTTACGCATGCATGAAAATTGAACAACAATTATGAGCAATATAAAAGTAATAATTTAGTCAACAATATGTTATAATCATTAATAATTAATTTTTCAATTACATATGCATCTAATTATATAAGATGTCTTTTTTTAAGACATTATATTGCAATTATTTGAGAGAGTCTTGGAATTGGATTTTTGCAAAAATCTTGATATTTCATTGATTTAAATGAATAAATCGAAAAGTTTGAGGAGTTATAAAGGTGAGATGTAAATGATAAACAACGATAGTTACGAATTCGATTTTGTTTTTAACTAGCAAAGTCGATGTTCAATGCACTATTAGTTGTGCTATTTTCAAATCGAAAAGTGATAGTCATCCCTTAAAGGTGTAACGGTTTTATTTTTAACTGGTAAAGTTAATATAAAATGCATTCAACTTGTGCTACTCATCCATAAAGAATATGAATGTTAATTAAAAATTCATATGTTAATTATATTTGTAGATGTTAATTTACAAATGCAAACTATGAGAAAGCTAATAAATTCCTAATGTTCCCTTACTTAACAATTTATTCCTTTTTATAATTTTTTTAATTTAAAATTGTTTTGCTATGGTGTTTTGAATAACTCAACCACACAAAGACTTTTTGGCCAATGAGAGTACGAAGACCTCTTAAATCAAATATTCATGTCATTAAATGGCATGTGTTTGTTGGCTAGTAAATTCCATCAAACAGTCCGCACCCACCTCCTTTCCATCACACCACGGCTAGATGCAAGGGAGTCCAATATTTATCTAAAGGATTTTAGGTAAATTAAAAGCTATTTCAGTCAATTTTAACGTAAATTTTTAGTTAAAGTACAAATAAACGATAAACGGATAGCTCGTTTTATCATAGAATAAAGCTCATTGTACACAAAGTCTTACAGTTCAATTAACACTCACCTCACACAAGAGGAGGGGCTCACGCACAATTAATGTGCAGGCCCCGCCCCCTTGATTCCATTGGAAGGATCAATGAGTCTTATAAAGATCATATTGATTCTTATTAAAGAAAGGTGTGATTAATTAACACTATTCAAACAGACAAAAGTCAACTAAATAGTGTTCCCGCAGCGATTGAGGTTATAATTTTCAGTTTCTGTGGGTGGTATGAGATCCCCTATCGAGAATAAAATCATTCATTTGATTGAATGCTATGAATAAATTCTACCTCTTATTATAATTTGCACTTCCGAGGGATGGAGGATTTATAGCGGATGGTTATCCTTAAATAGTTCGAGGCTAAGTCTTTTTTGGATAGTAGTTTCATCGTATAGATTTCTAAGTTATGTACCGAGTTTTTTCAATAAATTTCTTGGAAACAGGGCGCTTAATTGGAACCCGTATTGGAGGGGGCGTCGGGCCCTTTCCGTCCAGCATTCCTCAAGTTTTTTATAATTAAATATTTTGAGATAGATGCACGGGTGGTCACTTGAGAACTGACGGTTAACTGTTCCATTATTTCATCTTCAAAATCAATACTAAAGTCGCATGATGATGATGATGATGTTATCATCCATTTTCTTTACTGTATTATATGTTATTGTATTTATTATTTAAACGTATTAATCTCCCCAGAGGATTCTTCTTTATTTTAGTCCTTTTTTCTTCCCTTTTTTGGTAAGGATAGCTTTTTTTTATGTAGATTAAAATCAAATTTTTAGTAGATTTTGATAAAAATTGTGAGTCATATGAACTGTATAATAAAATTAATTATTAATTTTGACTCAAATTAAAATTTTAATTTTAATTTTTTACCAAACAATGTCATAGATGAATTGATGGAACGAGATGATGAAGTTGAAAATTAGACAATTATTTTAACATAGAAAAATTTAAAAAAAGTCAGACAGCTTTTTTTTTTTTGGTGACAAGGATAAGACAATTAGGTTCATAAAGTTGTAAGGTACATACATTGCATCTATAACTTGGAAAGCTTCGCGTACGTTGCACAACGTACTAGATATTTTAATGGTTATTAGTATATAACTTCCTTACTTATTATTATTATTGAAACGTTTTCACTTTTTATTTTTTAACATTTTAAACTTTATTTTCACATTTCATTGTGCAAAAAGGTCATTTTTCAATCAAAAGCTGTGAAGTAACGAATATACTATTCTATTTAAATAAAATAAACAGAAAAAGAAAGACTAAATGCAATCATAGTCCCGATTTTATTTAAAAAGTGCAAATGAATCCAAATAATTTATCAAAAGGGTAATTAACACATAATATTCATGTCCTTCACTATTATTATGAAAAGACGTCCATATCTTTCATTTTTGACATTTTCATCCTTAATTACAAATTTAATTAGGCAAACAATCATTTCTATCTATTGTAATCCAATTTATCAATAAAAGTTGTGAAATGACGAATATATCCTCTATTTAAATATAAAAAAAATTTAATTTTTAATATTTTAATAATTTATTTGAGACTCATTTTGCTTTTTAAAAAAATTAATTTCTAATTTTTTAATAATTTATTTTAGAATCTTTTGCAATTTTTTTAAAAATTTTATTTTTTAAATAATCTATTTGGGACTCGTTTTCATTTTTAAAAAAAAGGATTATAGTAGCAATTAGTTCTTTATTTTTATTTTTATTTAAATATGAGAGTATATTCCTCATTTTACAGCTTTTTATTACGAAATTGAATGAAAATAAATAGAAATGATGATTTACACAATCAAAGATATAATTATGGGTGAAAATGCAAAAAATAAAATAAACTTCTTTACAATAATAGTGAAAAGTAGGTACATCATGTGCTAATTAACACTTACTAATTTATTTGGGACTCGTTTACACTTTTTAAAAAGTTTGGGACTATGATTGTAATTAATTCTTTCTTCTTTTTATTTAAATAAAATGACATATTTGTCATTTCACAACTTTTAATTGAAAAAATGAATAAAAATGACATTTTGCAAAATGAAATGTGGAAGTAAGATGAAAATGCCAAAAAGTGGAAGGTAAGAACGTTTTTCACAATGATAGTAAGATGTAAACATTACGTGCTAATTACTCATATTTAAATTTGATGTGATTGGAATTTTAAATTTATTGATTTAAGCTTTATCATCTTCTTCGTTTACAAGTCGAATTTCCCTACTTCGTTAAATTTCTTATTTTTGCACAATTTTACAATAATTGAACATAAGTTAAACTTGAAATCAAAATATTTTAAATATCCATGTTAAGAGAATCTTCAAGGGTCGAGCCAAGCCAGCTTAGCTCGTCTCGTCACCTCCAACCTCCAAGCCCGACTCACCCAACCATGTCACCCTCATGAGCCACCTCATGTGAGCTGACGAGCTGCTAGCACGAAAAAATCATGGTTCAACGTAGCTCGTCCCACAACTGTTGCGAGTCAAGTCACAAAATACATCCTTGTGGTTATGATTAGAAGTCCATTACACAATTGTCACATCAAAGAATTCTTCAATAGATTAATTTTTCTAGTTGTAGACCGTGACCCTTTTGTCCAAAGTTAGGTATAGGAAATGCTCGAAAGAAAACAAAAATATCTCACTCCATTAACCATATATATTGTACGGATTTTAATCCCCTAGTAACCAACATGTGATTTGAGTCTTTGATTTATGAAATGTCAATACGATTTACTCACACAAAACAAATAAATTATATTTTTTAAGCAGCGACCAAATTTGGTTGGGTTTCGAAGATTCACATTCCATACAAATTGAACTAAAACCTTAAAGAAATCTACAGTCACTAAACAGTCATTTTCCATCACCCTGTTTTCCGACCAGAAGTTTTTCCGTTATAACAAAGTAATCACACAACTCACAATTCAAAAATTATCCAAAACGGAAATCCTCAGTACAAATCATACAATGACAGACAGAAAGAGGGGACTCGAGGGAGGAGGATAGTCTCTATAGTACAAGTTTGAAACGATTTCATCGGGGAATCTTGACTCTGCTCAAACAATAATTCATTCTGAATATCAGACTTTATTCCACGGTGATGTTGCTGAGGTAGGTATTCGTGCAAAATAATGCATACATACGAATCTACCTTCGAAACTTGTGCTTATTGTTTCCGACTACTTTTTTCTTCAATGCCTGATTTCACAAATCTCAATCTGAGGACTTGAAGAACATCTTCTACTTTCACTTCTCTGCAAGCCAATAAAACCATGGCATGATAGAGCAAGTCTGCCATTTCTGAGGCAGTCCTTGAATTGTCCTCATTTTCCTCAAGAGTTCGGCATAACTCATCAGCCTCTTCCCTGTACGACAGGCGTCAATAACTAGTATCAGGAAAAATTGCTGCTGCTGCTTCTACACTAATCTTCCACATTAAAATGAAAAAAATATTATGTTATGTTAATTGTTTCTGACCTTTAAGTAACAAAAGTTCATTATTTTCAAAGTAACTCTAAACTTACCCTTAGGGTCCGTTTGATTGCAAATGTGGAATTTGGGTGGAAAGAAAACAAATTCTAGGGAATTGAATTGATGGGAAATTGTTTTTCTGAAAATTGTAAATTATTGTGTTTGATTGATATAATTTTCCGCGTGGAAAATGTTTAAATTAAAGTGTTTTTTGATGTTCGTTTGGTTTTGTTTTACATGAAAATTGTCAATTAAAAGGAAATATTTTTTTACAATAATTCTTAGAATTTGTTACTACTGCCAAAAAAGAAACAAAAAAAAAAAGCAAAAAAAAAAAAAAAAAAAGAAAGAAAAAGCCAGCAGCCAAAAAAACCAATTCCCAGCTCACCCAAGGGAATTGGTTTTCCTCATTTTCATGGAAAAGGTCGTCACGTGCATGAAAGATAGAAAACAAGTTACCTAGAAAAAATTCCCTATCAAACAAGGCAAATTGGATGGAACATGGAAAATGGAATAATCAAACATGGCCTTAAAATAGTTGGGACAAACATGCTATGAGACACTAAGTATTCAAGGCACAATTTCATGGAAAATGTAACTAATGTACCCCTCTGTTTCGGTTATAACTTAAAAGAAGCTCATTTATAAAGTGATATAGAAAAATGGTTGAGAAAATCATGACACCTGATTTTTGAGCAGAGTAACTTGTCATTGATTAATAAGCGCTTAGTCCAGGAGGGTTTTCCACTTGGAGAACTTGATAATTCCTCTTTCCGTTGGTGTATTGTAGATTCCAATGAGTATAGAGTGGTCAATGCAAGTTTATTTACATCAACCTAGCAATTAATAAGGCAATATAATAAATAGGTCACCCTCCATTCTCTCAACAAAAAAATTTTAAAAAGGCAATTTAGAGAAGGTTAAAATTAATAAGACAATCAAAAGCAAGCCAGAAGAAAACAAATGTTTTACCTCTGGACTATTTAGGAAATCATCAACTGAAGTGTAATAGCAGGTCTCCGAGCCTGTGTGGCAAGTTGGCCCATCAGGCTTCCCAAAGTAAATTATCTGACAAATAGTTCAAACTTTTACTTCGCATAATAAACTAGAGTCACCAGACAATTATATAGAAACATTTCCATGTCAATATTTTTGTTAAACTTACAGAGTCACGATCACAATCGAGAAAGATATCAGAAACATTGATGAAATTGTTGGATGTCTCTCCCTTTGTCCATAAAGCTGACCGCGACCTACTATAGAATGTTGCCTTTCGGGAGGAAATAGTTGTTAAAAGTGCCTCCCTATTGATAAACCCTTGCATCAAAATGGCACCTGTGTCAACATTTTGAGCTATGGCCACCGCCAAACCTTTGTCATCCCATTTGACACTATCTAACAATGGATCAACCTAAATTAATCTTGTTAGATGTAAAATGCAAAGGTAAAAAATAAAAAATAAATGAGAAACAAATTATTGCACTAAAAGATTTCAGAATGACCCAGAAAAACATACAGGATAAGTACAATAAAAGATTAATATGCTACACAACATGCTTCCTAATGGATTGGCTATTGAGAAGATAGCCATCAAAGTAAAAAATTATAAAGAAAAGAAAGGCTCATAAGGTTCATGACAAATGAAACACCCAAAGTTTGATAAACAAGTATTAAGCAGTCATTTTCTAGAAAATTGGTTAATACTGACTTTAAATCTTCTTTTCCAGCCAAGTATGTTTGTTTTCATAAAATGTGGTGTTCAGATGTAGCTCATCTAATCATTAAGAATTGACTATCAGCAACGATGAACACTTTCTTTCCTGTACCAGACGATCAACGGACACTGCAATCATGACTGCAGTGACACCTGCTAGTGTCTGATAAACTAAATGTTTAAAACAAATCTTAGCCCCTGTTTGTTTTTCATTTTTGGAAGAATGAGAACGAAAAATATAGCCATTATGGGCCCACACAAGAGAGTGAGATTCAAATTTGGTGGCTTGATGTGATGGATAACAGTAATTTTTTCATTTTAATGAGGAAATAATGAGAACCAAACAAGGGCTTAATACTTTTTCCAGTCATCTGTCTCTTTTCAAAAAATACNTTTTTCATTTTAATGAGGAAATAATGAGAACCAAACAAGGGCTTAATACTTTTTCCAGTCATCTGTCTCTTTTCAAAAAATACAGCGTTCGTAAGTAACTTGTTTAATCATTAAAAATAGACTAGCAGCAACTACAAACAAGTAATGACTCTTCTCATAGAATGTGGGGTTCAGATGTAGCTCACTGCATCATTAGAAACTGACTAGTGGCAATGATGAACACTTTCTTTATTATGTCAGACATTCAACGGTCCCCACAAACATGATTGTGGCGACACCTGCCTATGTCTGATGAAATCCATGATGAAGAACAAGAAACAAGCAAGTAAATACAGAGGTAAAATATAAAACAACAGTTCATATTCATGATAGTAGCAGTAATCAAGCAGCTGGCCATCAAGATGGTTGTGAGAAAGACTAAACGGTCCACAAAAATTGAAGACACCTAATTGGATTACCAAAGGCACGCTAGTTTGAATTCTTGATCTACAATCAGTCAAAGGTTTGAAAGATAGGAGAGTGAAAAGGAATTGCACCATTCCCAATTATAGAAGGAATATCTCCCTCTCTCATGTTTAGTATATTGCTATAAATCTATTAGAGGCTTATTACTCCTTGAGGCGTGCCTCATATGAGGCTTTCATCAAATGCCTCTTTCTGGCTTTCACCTTGAGTGCCACTAGTCAAGGCTTACGTCTCTAGGTTAGCACATGGACGACTGAGATGTGAACTCGGTTGTCCTATCTGGGGTTTCAGAGCTGCTGTTTCTACAACCTTTTACAGGTTGTTTTGATTTACGTTAACTAACTTTTCATGGATGTGAAGAAGTAAGCACATGCTAGGTGGACACTCTAAAAGAAACCAACCAACCAGTTACTGGAAAGGAGGTTCGAGAAGTAAAATGGTTGACTGATCCATAACCTCACCGGGAGAACATAAGACATTTTCCTTTTACAAAAGCCACTCAAAACAAGCTCAACCGAGTCAACTCACATTCTACTTGACCCAAGCTCAAAAACTCAACATCAGCAATTAATGGCAAGCTGGAGTGTATTTATCTTTGTAACGAGCATGAAAGTTCTCTAACATTCACCTTAGTTAGTTTCCAGCCATGCCACACAGGCATTGGCCATGGCTGTAAATATAACAAAACTTACAAAATATCAAAGAGTGAAAAAAAAAAA